AGGGACATCGTGGTTACTGCAGCTGCTGACACAGAAGGTGTGTCTTCAGTGCCTGGTTTGAGGATGGGGAAGCAGCAGAGGAGCCTGTGTTTTTCATGGAGAATGGGGCCACTGTGATCGTTGCCAGGGTTCAAGGGTGTGTTTCGTCCCTGTGGGTCTCCTGAACAGATTGCAGCTCATGCCGAATTGTTTCTCGCGTTGGTCTGTGTTCTCAAACCCACCGAGCTCGTAGCCTCCGTCTCCAGCGGCAGGGTGGGAGCGTGGAGCGCAGTACAACTTTTCTGTGGATTTTCCTCAGTCACTGTTCATTTCTAGCGTCCCTCGGGTGAATCAGCATCCTTCTCCTGCCTGATTCATTCAGTGCCATCATGACATGTTTGACATCACCATCGTTTCCATGTCTAGTGAGTTATATATTTTTTTAAAATGCTTTGTGACACTTTTAAATGAAGCAGACAGAGAAAGTAGATTTTGGAGAACCAGGAACATCTGGTGCTTGCATATTTTTTTCAGCAACTTAGTGAAATTAATGTGGTTCTAAAGCAGAGAAGAAAAATTACACGTTGAACTTACAAGTTAATTAGCTCTAACTCTCAGGTGCTTGAACACAGGGTTAGGATTGTCATGTCGGTCTGACTGCGGATGGTTTCTCCTGCCTGGCATCATTCCAGGTCGTTCTGCTGGAGCACAGTGCAGCAAGAACAGGAGCAAGCTTTTGAGATGACTTTCTTCCCACACCCGAAGAGGCTTTTTTGGTCATTTAACTGACCGATTAGTTGCCACAGCATAAGCTTTGTTGCCTAGAAGTACACGTAGCATTTATTCTGCTTAGAAAAACACGGATCTGGAGTAAATTGCAGTCTTAGGGTTTGAAGATTAGTAGGGAGGTGTTCAGGAGGAGCATCAAATAGTGTCATCTCCTCCTGTGCCCTGGCTGATCCAGCTCTTCCACAGGCATAACAGAAACCTTAAGGTACTGTAACAGTTACTGGCAAGGTATGGAGTAAAGCTTTAAGAAAAAGAAGATAAATACAAAATTGAACTTTAAATTTGTGTTTGCATATTATTTCTACTTCAGGCTGTGCAAGATTGATCCTTTTCTGACCTTTTTTCTCACGTTCTGGCCAGCAGCTTAGGGAATGCAGCCTCCAGTGTACTAAACGTCATCCTGTCTAAAATATTTAACACCACAACTTGCACTCAGAAAGCAACACCTTTTTAACATGAGCTGTTAACGAAAGGTGTAGCTAACTCCTGTGAGTACTCACCAAGTGGTTTTGCGTGTAATAGCTAACCATAATAAATATGGAAGCAGGTATGAGTTGGATGTGAGACCAACAGAATAAACACTTTTTTGTTTAAGCATCAAGTTCCTGAAAACTTATTAAACTTGCTTTGTTTGCTGTTGAATTCATTGGCCAAACATACGGAACCTAATTGTTGCGTTAAGGGTATGTTTTAAAAATCTGGAGGTGTTTTACAGGTCATTAATGCTGCACTGGCTCTGGCTGCTAAGCCCCAAAGCAAGCTGGCTCAAGAAAACATGGATCTCTTCAAAGAGCAGTGGGAGAAGCAAGTCCGGGTCCTGACAGATGCTGTCGATGACATCACTTCCATTGATGACTTCCTGGCTGTATCAGGTAATCAGGGCTTCGATCTCAGAAATAATCATTCTCATAACTGAGCTTATTCCTGGAAAACGGGTGGTTTCTACACGTGTTCTGGAGTCTTCTCAGGTTTTTGGAAGGGATGGTGTTTGTACGCTTCACCTGGCAAGCGTCGTCTTCTGCCGAGCGAGGTGTGAAAATGGAGCGGGAGATCTTGGCACGGGAGGAGGTATTTTTATAGCGTGAAAACAGCACTGGGTTAGTTCAGCAGAACCTGTCATTGCACTTACGGCGTGTGCACGCATAAATGTATATATTTACATGCCAGCAGGCAGATCAGCATCAACACAGTGAAAGACACTTTATGTCTCGAGCTTTTGAATCGCGAGCTGAACTACCGATGAGTTACCATCTAGCTCCTGGAGACAAACCTCACCGGTGACACTGGGGGAAATAGAGTGTGTTTATGTTCAAGTTATGAACTAGCAAAAAAGACGAGCCCTCAATTCACTGTAGACTCTTCTTACAGAAACAAAACCGAATACCAAACCATGGTCGTACAAGTTAATTAAAAGAAAACTGTTCTATAGGAAATGTTCTGTGGATATCTTTAACTGTGTCAGCTTTAGTAAAGTTTTTAAAGTTTTGAAAAAAGATTAGATGATTATAAGAGATTAATAATTCAGTTTGGCAAAGTGCTTGCCAAGATAATCTGATTTGTTGGCATCATTAGTAAAGACCCTGCTACCAGCTGCTGTGACCTACCAATAAGGGGGGCGGTTTTATTTCCACATCCTCTAATTCTGCTCGAGTCACAGGACTCGGGGATACAACGTGTGAATTGTGTCTGCAGCAGCGTTCACAAATCACCGCTGCAAACTGAGGGTCTAATTCTCCTGGCGCAAACACGCTTGGACATCTCAAGTGACCTAAAAACTGCAGTTGTAAAGAAAGATTTCACAGGAAGATGTGTGGATTTAGAAGTACCAGGTGAACGTAGCTAGAAAACGTAGACGAAAAATTCAAGTCCTGTATTAGAAGGCCCTCTTTTCTTTTAATTAAAAAAAAAAAGTAGTGTTTCTACGATGAGTCACCTGTATTACCATACGTGTTGTATCGTGGTTCCCCGGGTTCTGAATAAGAATTTTCTTTGCAGTGGATTAGCATGAACTTATTAGACAATTGAATGTCCTACTTCTTTGTCTCTGCGTGCTCATCATTGCAGCAGCAGCTGAAATTGCACAGCTGTGAGGAGCCTATTTCTGGGGAAATATATTTAGAGAGAATCGTGTGCTGAAGTTCATGGCTCTACTTGGAGTTTGCCCACAAGTGTACAAAACGTTCTGAAGAGGAAAAAGCTGTCAGTCTGTCAAAATGCCGTCTGTATAAAGCTGCTTTACTGGATTGCACTTACAGGTGTGGCTCAAAGTGGGTCAAGCCACTGGAACCGAGTGGTCTGCATCCTTGTCTAGGTCATTCGAGGAGATGGGTACTCTGCTTTTGAGGGGATGGGTTGTGGTGTTGGCCCACTGCTGAGTTGCTCTGAAGAGTTTCAAGGGCTTGGCAATAAGCAGGGAACACTTCTTTTCTGGGGGCGGTGGCAGGCTGGCTCAGGAGAGGGCTCACCTCAAGCATCTGCTTACCACCCAACAGCATGCTGTGGAAACGCTGTAGTTTGAGGCTACTTCAGATGCTCAAGTGCCTTCAGCAATTATTTGTATGTGCTGCGTTATCAAAGAGACGTTAGAAAAATATTAAAGCCATAAATTTTGTTTTAAATATTATTCGTTTGAACTTTGATAAATCTTTTCCATATAAATGCCACAACTCCAATTCATCTGCTAAAAGTCTAAACATGTCTTTGGATACAATCGTGGCGGGTGTGATTTATACCAGGTTCCGTTCAGGGTTATTAGGATGTTGGTGTCAACTTGTGTCAGTTATTGACTGGGGCGTAAGTTGAATTTAGAAGAGTTCTTGTGATTCTGTATGTTGTGTATATATATATAAAAAATAACCCAGACATATTCCTACAACGTGTTGTGCCGTCCCTCATGAAGTACATGCTTCATTGTTCAGCTTATGCTGCAGAATTGTATCCATTACCCACAAGCAAAGGCTTGATGAGAGATGTTGGCTTTAGATAATAGCAGACTATGACAGAAGAAGGATACCTACACACACAGTGTGGCAGGTAAGCTTGCAGGCTACAACATTTTATGAAGGACATGGCACGAGCAGGGCCCTGTTGGGTTAGGACAACGGTCTGGCGGTGGATAATTGTCAGGACATGAGATATTAATAGCCGAGGAGTCTTGTAGCCTGAAGATCTTTCCTGTATGCTTCCAGCCATGAGTGATTTGCAGCTTAGGGAGCTCCAGCATCAGAGGTGCTATCTACTGAACAGTCCTCAACAGATTTTTCTCATTTAAGCTTGTGTTAGTTGCTCTTTCAACCATTATAAACCTCTGGCATCTCCATCATCCTGTGCAAAATTCACAGCTTAGCTGTGCTCTGTGTGAAGAACCTCCTCGTTTTTGCAGTGTCACCTATTTGCTTCATTTGATGCCCCTAGTTGCAGTTGGAAGATGGTTAAGAGGGTTTTTTTTTTCCCCTACTCACTTTCTTCTTGCCATTTGTAAATGTGCAGACTTCTGTTGTATGCTTAGTCAGTCATCTATCTCCTTCTTGACTGCTGAGTCTTTGCCTGTTTCATCATTCCTCATTTCAAAGCTCTTCCGTACCTTCTGTAGTAATTCTTACCCCTCTTGTCAGCGCCGTCCCTGCGCGCTCTGGGTGTGTTCGTGTGCCCACTCTCTCTGTTCTTTAGTGCGGTTGCTGATAGCACCGTGTAATTGTCAAATTCAATGTTCTGAAATTACCCGAGTCTCCTTTGAAATCCTCTTAAGAAAATCATTCCATTTGCTGCCTTCTGTTCCTCTGCTGCTGACAGAGGTTTACGCAAGAGGCTGCCCGTCACGGCAGACCTATTTTGTCTTAAGAGCCTCCAGATGAATTTTTCCTGGGCCTGATGATTGTCCTCCTTCATTACAAGATGAATACTGTATTTACACGTGTAGGAACACTCAAGTGTTTGTTCCTTTGACGCTGCTGCTTGACCTGGTTCCTCCAGAGTTGCTTGTCAAGAGAAGGTCTGGCATGGAAATTGTTCTAAGACCTTCTACAGGAGACACAGCAGAGAAGAGCAGCTTTCTTGATGCCTCTGTGGCTTTATCTCCTGACTGTTGCTCTTAGATTCTGATCTCCTGTAGCCCCTAGACTCCCTCACAGGCTTATTGGGATGCTGGGAAAAGGCTTTCTTAATCCCTTTAATGAGGAGGTGGGTGGAGGTGGAAGGTGTTTGGTGGAGGTGGATTGAGGATTGACAGTTGTGGGAGACTTCTAATTCTGTTAGCTTTTCACAGGGTTTTGTATTTCCTTGTTTGCTCTAAAAATCACTTTTAGTGGAAAAATGTCTTTTCTCTTGCTGCCAAACCACGCCATGTTTTCCCCTATAGTTCTTTCGACAGGACGAGATCCCTTGCCGTTGCCTGTGTTCTTTTCTCTGTTCTATTCTAGCGCTGGGAGGTTTTTCTCCAGCTCAGCACCAGGAAGGCTGTTAGCGTTGATGCAGGACGGCGTTACCACGTCCCCCAAGGTGCTGGTGGTGAACCTGTGCGTCAGCATTCCTGGGCTCTGCCACCCCAGCTCAGCAGATGGCATTTTGTGCCAGGCACTTGTGGTCCATATGCCTGTAAGACAGGTAGCAGCGTGCATGTAGGGGCGCACAGCACGGTGTCAAATGTGATTTGTTACCGTCCAACTGGAGAGTATAACCGGAGTGGATGCACCTGACAGTCCCATACTTCCCCGGGGCCTCTTGCAGGCTCTGCCCCTTGAGGGATTATCTTCCCATAGAAGCATCTTTCTGGCAACTTTGCATCTGAGAAAGACAGGACGTGATCAGCAGGCATTTAAATATTCATCCTCATTTTGTCCATGTCTTTTATTAAAGTTCCTATAATCCAAAGAGGCTTTTAAATGGTCTGTGGCTTAATTTATTCGGTAAGGAATTCAAGCAACAAACAGTCTGTGTTTTGGCCTGACGCCGATGCTTTTTCTTTCTACTGCTGTAACTTGCAGGGATGTCTGTCTCTTGCTTTAAATACCAAAACTCTTGTGTGCTTCTTGCTGCGGCTCGTGGACCTCGGCTGCCTGCTCACTGACTTGTCACATCGCTAATGAACCCTCCTAGGGCCACATTCTGCCCTCAGCTGAACTCGTTCAGGCTCAGTTGCTTCAGAGGTATTTTGCAAGTGTCACTTTTGTCCAGGTTGCTTACAGAAGTCTTGCAATATTGCACCTGGCTCTGTTAATTTTATGTAAATTAAGCATTAACTCTTCCAGCAGCCATCCTTTCAGCCAGTTTATACAAATCCTCTATCAGTCGACTCTGTGTGCTCTTGTCTCTACAAACTCTTGCAAAATGGCTCTTTTGCTACCTGCACAGGGAATAAAAGCCACTTTGGTGGCACAGACTGGCAACGTAGCATGATTAAGTCAATGGTAAGTAACGCTGGGAACTATTTGAAGTGGCAGAGCAGAAATGTTTGCAAGTTGGGTTCTTACTGAGCAGCCCAAATGCTGATGTCGGATGGCAACGTCAAAGCGTTGGTACTGATATATTAAAGAGGTCTCTAACGGCGTTTGGAAACCTTTGGGGAAGGTTTCCCCAAAGGAGGATCTCAACCTCTTTAGGCATCTTCAGAAATCTCTTAGGGGTTTTTAGTCATTTAGGGCCTGTTGGACTTGATAAATGGGGGAAAAGATCTCTGCGTAAGAAAGAAAATGTATCTTCTATAAGTAAATTACAGACAGAGGTCTTGGCTTTATTTTCTGTTTTCTTAAGAGGCAATGAGTACTCTGTCGCTGGAACGCTTTCTGCATAAATCACCGCATATGTTACGTGTCTTAAATTTGAATGGAGGACTAACAGTTTAATATTCTGTGATGGTGCGTGTGTGGTTGTAGGAAAACACGATGTAGGGAGCCAGAAACGTGCAGCAAGTGTCCCAGTCTATTAAAACGTTGAGTGGGTTAGGTGTGGCGCTGGGGAGGTGTGGCTTGCAAATATTTGGAATTAAGGCTTTGGCAGTCCAGGGGAGGAATATGGAAAGAACCACGTTTGGGGAGAATTCAGCTGCATTCAGCTTTTCTGTTGGTAAAATTGAGTACAAACGGGGGCAAGAAGTTTGGATGCCAGCAGGTGAATGGACTGATGATTTTTTTGACCCCTGGTTTGGAAGGGCAGCTGTTTGGTCACAGCAAGCTTAAAAACTCGAGCTTTACAGCGTCTCACTGGAGGCTTTAGACAGCAGGTCACAAACTGAAAAAGTGCGGTGCTGATGACTGCCGCAGAAAAGAAGATATTACCGTCTAAATCCTCCTTCTTTTACCACCAGAGAATCATATTTTAGAAGATGTAAACAAATGTGTCATTGCTCTCCAAGAAAAAGATGTTGATGGTTTAGACCGCACAGCTGGTGCAATTCGAGGACGCGCTGCCAGAGTCATTCATGTTGTCACTTCTGAAATGGATAACTACGAACCTGGAGTCTACACCGAGAAGGTGTTGGAGGCGACAAAGTTACTGTCCAACACAGGTAAGGGTCGGTTACTCCCCAAATCCCTGAATTCCTGTTGCTTACAAGCGCACGGGTGACCAGATACTAATGTACCTGTGAAATCTGCTAAGACGCCATTTAAATACTGTGATGAAAATTAGTGGGAGTTATTTGCAGAGCTGTTGCAAAATGAGTTTTGCTGTGTTGACTGGCTTAAAATTCAGCCGTGCACGAGATCTCCCTGAGCGTGCTTGCGGTCACTGGCTGAGCCGTAGAAAGCTAAAACACCGGGAAATGAGTCCCAAACAGTGAATGAGGGCTTGAAAGTTATGCTGGTCACCTTTTGGTGTTGTACTGGTCTCTTTGTCAGTGTTCAGGATCCAAAAAGAGGGTTTCTACTGAGTTGGCTCAGTAGAATAAATTTTGCGTAGTAATTTGGGGTAAATGTTGTAAAATATCTTTACAACTACTGAAGAAACATTGTAGGTTGTAGTCCCCCACCCTAAGCAATCAGTTTGGGTGTTTACCTGCAAACTAGCTGGTAAGATCCACATAGGGTAAGGAATGATTCTGGTTGCTTCAGTGAGGGTTGTGCCAACTATTAGTTGTTGGTTTTGCTTTAATTACAACTTTGATGAAGAATCAAGGGTGACGCTGAAGAAAGGAACAGACTGTAAATGGTTCTGTGATGTTCCTCCCGGGGTGCAGTGAGTCACTGAAGTACAGCAGTGCAAGCTGCCCTCTTCCAGTGCCTTGTTAAACTTGAGCTTCGTGGTGGTAATGTTGGGGTTTTTCTCCTCAAAAATTATGTACACCTGTAGGGAATTTTAAACAAACACTTAATATTTTATCCCCTAATTTCTACCTGCTTCCCCAGGTGTTTTCTCCCTGTCCACTAGGAAGGTCTGATAAACTTTTCGCTGTCTAAGGTGAGAAAAAAAAACAACAACAAAACAAATAGCAGAAAAATAAAAAGACATTGAAGTGGACGTAACACTTGCTCTACAGTACTGGTGTCCTGTAACAAATGTTTTGGATTTAAGTGGAGCCACGGCGGAGTTCCCAGTGATGCTCACGCGCATCCTTTGCGGGAGCGTGTAGCAGCAAGTGGCGTTGGGCTGGGGACTGACTGGTGGTTTGTGTTCTCAACTCAGTGATGCCGCGCTTTACCGAGCAAGTGGAAGCTGCTGTGGAAGCCCTGAGTTCAGACCCCGCGCAGCCCATGGATGAAAACGAATTTATCGATGCTTCGCGCCTGGTGTACGACGGAATACGGGATATCCGGAAAGCCGTACTGATGATCCGGGTGAGCACGACCTACTCAAACAGCTCGCTCTTTTTCCGCTCGCTTTCCCCCGCCTCCGTTGAACTGACGTACATCAATTTTATGGAGAGCAGACAGCGTAAGATTTCCGTTTAGCTCACATTAACGTTCCAAGTCGCTAATCACTCCGTGGAGTACTTCAGAAGTACGTTTTGATTCAAATTCATTAGATGGATCTGAGCATCAAGGATAGCTGGAGTTGCGACGCTAAATACCCTTCACGCATCTTTTGTAATCCCATGTTAATGCCTTGCTCGTTAGTGCGCCAAAATCAGTGACCTTTGATTCAACAACAGCGAGTGGATTCGGGACTAGAGATGCTTTTTCATGGTTTGAGAGCTTACAAATAAAACCTGATGGCTCTTTATTAAGTAAATTCTGAGAATTAGTGCCAGTTAGTAAAAAAAGCGGATTTAGATGAGTTGGAACTGTAGTTGGTAGAGCATGTAATGTGTTAATTGGCCAACCTCGGTAAACGGGGACCAGTTCATAGAGGCTTTGTGTCTTCTGTGCTTGAGGTGCGGTGAGTGTGACTCGGAAGTCCTAATTTCTGGTAGGTCGGGCAGCGTCAGCGTGGAAGTTGGCGTGCAGGGAAGGCGCAGAAGGGCTCCTGCAGTTGGTGGAAGGGACACAGGAAAGAAGGTTCTGGTTGAGGCTGACCTACGGGCATGTTTCTTGAGTCTTAGCATGGTAAAAACAGGCAGGAGCCAGATACAGTGAAAACAAACGTAGATATTTTATTCTTTTTTCCTTGTACCCCTCTGACTCAAACGTAACCGCCTCACAAAGAAACTGTCTGCGTCTTTCAGAATGGTAACCACAGCGGATGGATTTTGGTGATAAGTAAAGTAAGGACATACAGCCTCAGAATATATGTGATTATAGTAACCGTTGCAATAGTGTCTTCCATGTTTGCTCCTCAAAGCAAAGAATCAGATGGAAAATCAGAAGAAAACCTGATGACTGCATATGTGTTCTCCATATAATTTTTTTTTCACTTAAACTCAGGATTTATAGACACCCAATGTTAGATGAAGATATCGGTGCTTTCCTGCTATGCAGACAAACTAATTTGATTCACCCGTCGCTAAAGTCCTTGTTATTCAGGACATGAAAGCGCGACTGCCAATTCCACGTCGTCAGTAATTAGCCGAGCTGGCGATGCCAGGAATCCTGACGTTTCCCCTTGCGCCACGTCTCCGATGTCAGGGTGCCACGGCTTTATTGCAGCTGCCAGTAGCTAAACCTGGTGACACATCGGTGACCTATAAAAAGTTAGTGTTTGTTGTCCAAAGGGCTGTAAGGTCTAGAATGTATTTAGGATAAGACATCATCCAAATGGAGATGCCAGGTCACCACTTTTCTGGGGCACTCTCTCAAATGGGACCACAGGAGTAACCGTGCTCGCAGGGGCTGTGGCTAAGCTCAGCTGGGGCAAACGAGCTGATTCACGTGAAGCTTTGTCCACTGGCACTTGCTCTTTACAGGAACCAGAAGGAAAAGTCACTCAAAAACTTAAATTTGTGTTTGTGCAGGGTATTTTCAAAACTAAAAGCTGATATATCTGTAGGTTATCGAAGTAAAGCTCTTTTCTCCCTGGTCCTCAGACAACCTCTCATCATCTCTAGAGGAGTTTTTGCCCTTGATGACGGGTTGAAAGGCAGAATTACACGTTGTATTCCCCAGGTTGTTTGGGCTTTGGGATGGATGGGTAGAGAAAGGGGCTTGAGAAGCATAAACATTGTTTCTAAAGATGCAGAAGTACTGTTTTCTTTAATTATTTTGTTTTTTTTAAATATTGATACACTGAAGTACTTATTAGTGTATGTCCTTATGCTGATTTTGTGGATGTACTCTGTTCTTCAAAGCACGGATAGGAGATGGTGGCTGAAATACCCTAGGTCTTGACTGTCAGCAGTGTCACCTTTGCTTTTTGGCAACTGTTTTGCATATCCATCTTTATTTTAACTGTATCGCAAGATGTCTGTATTGGAAAACAATTTTGTCAAGTTCGAATCATGGGAAAGAATCTGAAGAACAGGGACTTTATTTGCATCTTATCTGTTAATCACAATTTATTGCATTTATCAGTGAAGCTCTTTGTTGATCCAGCTCTGCAAAGTTGTCATGGAGTGCCACTCTAGGCAAAGATGTAGTATTTTGACAAACACGCTGTTTAAACTCGATAAGCTGTATAAAAAGTTTGCCAGCTACAGACTGGCAGTAGCAAAAATAAATCCCAGGCAGGCAGGAACTAGGTCAGATGTGTTTAGCCTACAGCATAAAAGCTGGCCCTTACTCGCTTAAAAATGTTCAGCTTTTCCTGGGGGATAAGAATAAACGTTGATATATTTTATCTGTTGTTAATTTAGGTGATGCTTTGATTCATAACTGTGCTAAAGACGACGTCTGGGGTTTTGAACCAGGCCTGGGTGGGGTTTTAGCTTCAGAATCTCGAGTGAAGCTTTGACGTTTAACCAAGTTGCAAAAAAAACCTGTTTGTTTTGCAAGAACTTTTTTTTCCCTGTTTCAAATCCTGAGTGCGTTAGTGTGCTGACAAATCTCAGGTGGTTAGTCACTGGTATGTAATTTTGGGCATCCCGGTGGTGTTCGACGTGAGCAGTCGAGCATATATAATCACACGTGTTCACAAGCTGGATACAGTCCCCAGACTTACCTTTTTGTTGAAAACATGGAATCATTTTTACCTTTACTTATTTCCATTCTCCCTGCTTGAAAAACAATATTCTTGTTGGTTTTTAGAGCCATGAAATTTGTTGTTTGACCCAATTACTCTTTCCTCAGACTCCTGAAGAGCTGGATGACTCTGACTTTGAGACTGAGGACTTTGACGTCCGAAGCAGAACGAGTATTCAGACCGAAGATGATCAGCTCATTGCTGGACAAAGTGCCAGGGTAAGGAAGAAATGTGGGCCTTCCAAAACTGGGACCTGCCTTCAAGAAACAGTTCGACTTGCTTTGAAACTCCAGGTTACATTTTTTGGAGGTGGTGGTGAAGATGTTGGATCAGCAAACTGGCCTTCTTTTGTTTCCAGTTTTCTTCTGACAAGGAGGTTAAGTGAAATGCAGCATGTGTTGGTCTGATGGACGTCAGAAATGTCTGTGTTTAATTTGAGATGTTCTAAAAGATCAAAATCCTTTTAATAGGGATGAACTGCTATATATTTGACATGGCAGACGTTGTTGGCACTGCCATTTAATTAGGTGAGCTCCTGCAGGGAGAGACAGGCGAGTCGTTCTGTTGCACAAATGTTACTTGCAACAGGCAAAGACTAATAAAATAGAATAATCTTTGCAACAGGCAAAGACTAAGTTTGTGGGCAAGACAGAGATGATAACTCTGCAGCTCAGGCGGTTTTAACAAAATGTGTTCTCACGCACGCGTTGGGGTGTGTTCGGCCACGGAGCGTTTAATCAAGGCAACGTTGAGAGGAGCTCAAAAATGAAATGATTTAAACACACGGTGTTCCCTAGGCCTGTTAAAAATGAAAGCATTGATAGGTAATGTATAATCATTAATAGGTGAAAACTTAAAATCAGTACGTTGAAGGAAAAACAAGCTTCACCCATTGTTTTTATTTGACATGTCCTCTTCTGGATCGATAACAATTTACACTCTTGGGAAAGTGCCACAAAAGATTTTTTTGTGAAGGCTCTTCTAGCCTGGAACCAGGCAAGAAGTAACTAGGCCTTATTTATCAAACTTCTGCCACATTGCCTTTGGAATTATACTAACTGAGAGTATTTTTTTTATGCTCTCCTTCCTTGTACAGGTACTCTCCGTTCCTGTATCCCTCTCCCCTTTTATTTAAATGCAGACATTTCTAATTTACCTTTGAGCACGTCTGCTGCCAGAGGCTTTTTTGTGCTGAAGACTCCTTTTCACCTGCTCCTGGAGGCATGAGTGCTCCTAGTATTTATGAAGGCAAGGGCGTTGAGTCTCCTACAGGCTGTAAACCCAGTCTAATAGATTTTCTTCAGGAGTAGGCACATACTCTTTATTTTCACTTACACTTTCCTCGGTATGCATGTTTCAAGATAGTACATCTAGCTTTTTGCAGGAAAGAGACTCATGCTATTTATTCTGTGCTTTGCAACACTGAAAGATACCCGAGTGGAACTTCTTTTTAAAACTTCTAAATTTGGTAGAAAAGGCAAGTCCCTCCTCTTCATGCAGTTTTTCTTTCGTGGCTGGTAACATCTGGGAAACTTGTTTGGTGTCTAACAATTTTCTCATGCCAATACCCGTGTTTCAGATGTCAGTTTCTCTTTCTGGGCACTCTTTCTTACGAGCATAAACTTTGGTTCAAAATGGAAAGAAATCGTTCTGTAAAGACTCTAGATAGAGGATTGCTATAAAAGTTTTATCCCCCATCTACATGACTTAAATTGGTTATTAGTGAAATGTTCCAAAAAGCCTTTTCTGCAAGCGGTGGCATAAGGCGATGTGGGGAAACTCTCTCTTTCAGGCTATCATGGCTCAGCTCCCTCAAGAGCAAAAAGCAAAGATTGCTGAGCAAGTCGCAAGCTTCCAGGAAGAAAAGAGTAAATTGGATGCCGAAGTATCAAAATGGGATGACAGCGGTAATGATATAATTGTTCTGGCCAAACAAATGTGTATGATTATGATGGAAATGACAGACTTCACCAGGTGAGTCTTTTTAATTTGTGCACACACCACCTTCTCTCAGAGCTGGCTGGGATGCTGCTCTTTCAATGAAATATTTTGCAAGCACTCTTAAGAGTCTTACTTCTTATAATTCCTTTAAATGTTATCCTGTTAAAGCCTGTGTGTTCACTCGGGAGGTGCATTACTGTGCAGTGACTGGGTGGTAATAACTGCTTAAATTGATCTGTAGATACACAGCAGTTATTGCCTGCCTGTCTGTCTTTCTTAAGGGTGATTTTTGTCCCAAGGAATATGTATTTATATTTGCTCAGTTCCTTACAACATTAAATTCTATGGGCTGCTTGAAATAGTTCCTAGTACAGTTATTTGCAAAAGAAAGAGAGGGGGTTTGATGCCTTCTGAAATTCATTTACCACGTTTTATACACCACTATTTTTTTAAAACTTGATGTTGCATCCCGTGAAAATTGCCAATCAGTCTTCTAAAATGTTCTCTCTTATCATCATTCGGTTGCTTAAAACAGTCAAATTTAAGAAGTTTTTATTCCTAGATTTCATCTAAATATGGGGAGGGACTGGAAGGGGGAAGGTGTCTTGAAAATGATGGTGCTGTGATGGTTACACCTGCCTGTTTCTGTGCAGTTTGGGTGAGGAATCGCCTCCAGCACTAAATGAAACAGGATGGGCAAAGCACTGTGCAGTTCACTCTTCTGGCTTTCTGGTGCTGGAAGGTAGACTCCGTTCTGTTTTGCAGAGGTAAAGGTCCGCTGAAAAATACGTCAGATGTGATTAGCGCAGCCAAGAAGATCGCAGAGGCTGGGTCAAGGATGGACAAGCTGGGACGGACTATTGCTGACCACGTAAGTCACGATTCATTTTCATAAGCCTCCAGCACAAACGAGCAGTAGGAGATCTTTTAGTACTGCAGACATGACGAACAGAAGAAAATATGTTTAGTTTTGAGGTTTGGGGTTTTTTTAAACTGATTTTCCAGATTTGCTGCTGGAAAATTCTAGCCTTTTCTTTCTAGCTTCTCTCCTGCCTCTCTAAGCAGTGTCAGCAGCTAAATCTGTCCAGCAGTAGCACTAGCAGCTCCGTGCCTGAAATGGAGCACCTCCCGTTTTAAGGCAGCAATATGCCAGCACTGCTTCCCATCACGCAGGATCCAGGCCAGTTTCTGTAACCGAACAGGACTGAAACTGAACTGGTGTGGCTTCTGTCACGCTCAAAATACGCCCAGGACTTTCCAAAGCAATGACCAGGCTGCACAGGCAACACCGTCATTATTACCCGTGGCCTATTGCACAACCTTTAACACTATTTTTGAGGCTGCTTGTTAGTAATTAACCATTTTCAAATGCCCCGTAGACTGAACAGAGGGATTGTCAAAACTCTCCGGTGGTTTTCTCGTTGTCTGGTCAGAGTTGCTGAAGACTTCGAGCAAGGCAGGCAGGGACCCAGCACTTTCTGCGCTGTGCCAGGCTGTTGTGTGTGCTGTTACGCTGAAGGTACAAAGGTATTTGGAAAGAATTCCGTAGGATTGAACGAGTAGGGGCCAACCTGGGGTTTTAGGCAACACATCTGCCTGTCCCGAGCCGCTTCGGAAGCTGGGTTGGGCCGAGCAAAAGCGCCTTTGGTCTCGGTCCACACCCAAACTGCAGAGAAACATCAGCATTAGTAATAACAACTCTGCCTTCGAGAGGGACCTTGAAATGCAGGTAGGTTAAGTCTGAGATCATGGACTAAAGTGTATTTTGCACAGCTGTCACCTCCTTTTCAGTCCTTCTCTGAATGTCAATTCACAACGCAAGGTTTTAAATAAAACCGTGTCGCTTTGGAAGTGGATCTTTGTAATGCAGATCTCTCTTCAAACGTTGCAGCCGGATGATGCTGTCCTCGCCCGAATTTATTAATGATGCAGTGAGAAACGTTCAGTGGGGAGGGAGAGTTGAAAAGTGCTTTTTAAAATGGGTCTCCTTGCTGGAGCATTTTGGCAACAGTATTTCTGGCAGAATCAGACACGTTGCTGCTGTGGGTAAACGAAGCAAGGAGCAGTTTGTGTTATAGATCTCGGGGGATCTTGGGCTGAAGGTTTACAATGCTTTTTTTTTTTTCTTTAATTCACGTGTTTTATGCAAACTTGGTATATGGTTTCTTGCACTGAGCCATTTCAAAATACAGAAGAAAACTAAATGGCTCCTTTTAGTAGAAGTAAGGTCCTTAAAAATGTAAAAGATTAAGCCCATGTTTGAAGACAAATATGAGCAGGGCTCTACAGTTAGTCATTTTGACAAGAATATAGCTTTTTTTTCCCGACTCCGTGCTCTAACTAATACTTTCAGCTGGCGTGTTTCATTAGATACGCTTACATACCCTGTAGAAACTTGTAGTGATCTGTTCCTGCAGAACTATCTGCCAGTCGCCGAGGCCGCAGAGCGCAGCCGTTCCAGCGGAGCACGGGTGCCTTCCTCTGCCTAATGTGGGGCGTAACAAACGGAGGGGGTTTATGGCCTGCTCACCGGGTGACACCGGGTGAATCATGACCCCTCGTGTCAGTGTGGCAGGAGCTCCTAACTCCTGCTGCCAGGCAGTTTTACAGCACGTTTCCTTTGAAACCGTAAAAGCTATTATCCAAGGGCTTTCACGTCTGGTGAGAAGTGTCTAGCCGTCAGCCGGCGGATTTTCCCAAAGGTGTTCCATCTTTCACTCCTAGCAGCAGTCTGCTTGTTTTGAATGGGGAAATGTGAAGAAGTTGTGAGTACAACACAAATGAAAATGATTTGCAGCGAGACGATGATTTTCCGTCTTATTATTGTTTTTTCAATGTCAAAATATTTACAGAGCAGAAGAAAAATTCTCTTGCTTTTTCTTTTCGATAGAGGTGGGAGGTTGTATCAGCATCCGATCATTAAACCGAAAGGAGCAGGGGGGAAGTGTGGGGATTGCCTTGCTTCCCAGAAAAACACTCCAGCAGGCTCTGGCTGTTGAGCCTGATCCGTGCGCTGCGGAGGCTGGTCCAGGGACGTGCTCCGGGCGGAGGCGGACAGCTGTCCTGGGTGAAACACGGTTGCACAAAAAAAAAGCCACCCTCTCCCCCCGCCCCGCCGTGGCCGCTGCCCCTAACTGCCTGCTTTCAGCTTCTTAACCCAAGGGGTCGAGCCCAGCTGTTACACCGGGCTGGTGGGGGCATTTTATTGGGAATTATTGTTACCCTAAACTGGAGAGCGAGTGGGAGGTATGTGGTTGCTTGCTTACACCCACCGCCACGTGGGGCTGGGGACTGTCTTAAGAGCACCCACGGAGAGCACCCAGAAAAGCAAATGGTAGAGCTTTTCTGTCCTTCCCTGCCTGTTTTCTTTGCAAAAAGGGGAGAAAAAGGTGATTCTGCTTCTCCGCAGGCTCAGCTGGGGCGGTAGGAAGTGAACGTGTGTGCGGATTTGCTCTGTCCAGGATGGATCTGGGATTTGACGTGGAGCAGCCAGCTTAGCTTCTGCCAACAACCACCACTGAGTCTGTGGCCGCATCTCGTTTTGGGGGGTGTGGGGAGGTGGGGGTGTCCCCCAACACCCATTTGTTTCTGCCTACAATGCAGCTATCTGCTGTGACCGTGTTGTGGGAATCCTCCCGAGCTGCCTCTGCAGACGGGGTTTTTGTGTCTGTCGCTGTTGTAGGCTAATACAATTCCGTAATCTTTCTTAATCAGTGTTGAAATTGTTGCCTTTTGGGTTTTTTGTTTTTTTACCTGAGCATTTCCTGCATAGGAAAGGACAGGGCTCATCCAGGCATCCGCAGTGCCTTTTGTTGATGTTCTTTTTTATCTCATGTTACATCTCCATTCAGACATCATCTGTCTTTTGAACTGAATTCTCTATTCTGCTCGGAGAAACGGCACACGCAGTATAGGATGTGGTTTTCCAGCTCACGTCATGTTGATATATACAACCGAATAATATTTCCTATTCCACTGCCTCCCCCACTAACGTTTCGCTGCCTCCTCCAGCCATCGGTAAACATACGGCAGCCTCTTGCCTTGAGAGTGTCTTTCCTTAAATGGTTTCCATAAACTCCCAACCCATAAAGTACCTGGAATTGTTTAGCGGTCCTTCTGACGTGCCGTATTGTGCATTTGTCAACAGTCAATTCAATCTGCCGCCGTGCCGCTCGTTCACTTTGTTAGATGAGCTGTTGGGGAGATGGAGAGCGTTTTCCAAAATGGTAATTCCAGCTTTTCATTAGCTCTTTGGCCAACGCTATTCGTGGACTTTCTCTGAAACATCTTGTACTGCTGACTAATATTGATTAGCCTAAAAAATTAACCTGCAAGCTTTGCTGCTTTGTTATTCACAGTTTTCACTTCGCTGATGGAAGCAGCGTGCCTGTGTAAGAGTTGCAGATGCTTCAAGTGTTTCCATGGGCTTTCCTTGGGAAGAAGGAGGTGATTTCCGTTAGTTTATGGACACGCAGGGGTCAGATGCCCATAAAGCCATCCGGATCTCCATAGCCCGTGTCACACAGCCTGATCTGCTTGTCCCAGCTTGCCAAAAATGCTGTTTTAGTGCATTGCGTGTACGTGCGTGTCCTGCTTTTATGTCTCGGCTCGGCAGCCTGCCGTGCGCAGGCATAGAATCATAGAATCATGGAATGGTTTGTGTTGGAAGGGACCTCAAAAATCATCTAGTTCCAACCCCCCTGCCATGGGCAGGGACACCTTCCACTACACCAGGTTGCTCAAAGCCTCATCCAACCTGGCCTGGAACACTTCCAGGGATGGGGCAGCCACAACTTCTCTGGGAAACCTGTTCCAGTGCCTCACCACCATCAGAGTGAAAAATTTCTTCCTTAGATCTAATCTAAATCTCCCCTCTTTCAGTTTAAAGCCATTGCCCCTTGTCCTGTCACTACACACCCTTGTCAAAAGTCCCTCTCCAGCTTTCCTGTAGGCCCCCTTTAAGTACTGGAAGGCTGCTATACGGTCAGCCCAGAGCCTTCTCTTCTCCAGGCTGAACAGCCCCAACTTTCTCAGCCTGTCTCCATAGCAGAGGTGCTCCAGCCCTCGGATCATCTCTGTGGCCTCCTCTGGACCCACTTCAGCAGCTCCATGTCCTTCTTGTGTTGGGGACTTCAGAGCTGAAGGCAGTATTCCAGATGGGCTCTCAGGAGAGCAGAGCAGAGGGGCAGAATCCCCTCCCTCGACCTGCTGCCCACGCTGCTTTGGATGCAGCCCAGGACATGGTTGGCTTTCTGGGCTGCCAGTGCACGGTGCCGGCTCATGTTGAGCTTCTCATCCACCAGCACTCCCAAGTCCTTTTCCTCAGGGCTGCTCTCAATCCATTTTCCACCCAGCCTGTACTTGTGCTTGGGATCGCCCTGACCCACGTGCAGGACCTTGCACTTGGCCTTGTTGAACTTCATGAGGTTCTCACAGGCCCACCTCTCCAGCCTGTTGACGTCCCTCTGGATGGCATCCCTTCCCTCCAGCATGTCCACAAAACCACACAACTTGGTGTCATCTGCAAACTTGCTGAGGGTGCAACTCGATCCCACTGTCCATGTCACCAACAAAGATGTTAAATAGCACTGGCCCTAGTACTGAGCCCTGAGGAACACCACTTGTCACTGGCCTCCACTTGGACATTGAACCGTTGACCACAACTCTTTGAGTGTGACCATCCAGCCAATTCCTTATCCACCAAGTGGTCCATCCATCAAAACCATGTCTTTCCAGTTTAGAGACAAGGATGTTGTGTGGGACAGTATCAAATGCTTTGGATAAGTCCAGGCAGACAATGTCAGTTGCTCTTCCCGTCCATCAGTGCTGTGACCTCATCATAGAAGGCCACCAGATTAGTCAGTCGCATCTCTATACACAACGTGTAGCGCAGCTGTTTTCTCCCTGCTGTGCTGAAACACCACTTTGGCTTGAAAGCCCTGCTTGTTCTGGCCTTGGAAAAAGCAAATGTAGGTATCAGCTACACTCACCTTCCTGTGTGAGCTAAACGGCTCCTATGGCAGATCAGTTACTGGTGTGGGAAGCAAACGCTCCGTGTGAACGTGGCCCCATGTGCAACGCGGCGGTCTGTTCTGGTGCACTCTCCTTTTGTGCCTTTCCTATCCAGGAAACCTTTGGGCTTCTGCAGGACAAGCGACTGGTGGGGCAGATGTGCCCTGCCTGGAGGGCAGGAGTGGTGGGCGGTGTGCCCTGCTTGCCATCAGGTCGAGCTACGCTGCGGGGTCAGGGAAAAGCATTTGGGTTTTGTGTGTATGGGGTGCTGGAAGGCCGGTGTTTCATGACTGGGGATTGTGTAGCAAGACCCTGGATGCTGGAGATTGAAGGAGTTTCTGGATGGGGTGCAGCCCTCTAGGAAGGATGGAGATCGCTGCAGGGTCTGCCTTTGGTCTACCAGAGCATGACCCGTCGGATGGTTATTAGATCCCTGGTGTTCCTATCGCAACAGCTCCTGCCATCGTGAATATATCCAGGCTGGTTTAACATCTGCTGTCCTGGGCACTGCTCGCAGCACATCCAGTGGTGTCTGGAGGCCAGAGCTGGCCAACAGCCCGTCATGAGATGTTTGGTGCCTGCCGTGGGGGTGCAGGCAGCCCTCAGTGCCCTGCTGGTGCTCTGCACAGGGCACAACCATGGCACACGTGTCCTTGGGTTTATTCAGTGGCAGCGTGGAAGTCTGGTGGGCAAAGAGTTCGTGGGGTTCAGTCTTTATACCACCCGAGCGTGCCAGTGGATCTGGGGTGGCCTGTTGTTCTTCGGAGAAGCGACGCCTGGCACCGAGCTGGCCGCCGTTGTTAAAGATGCCGCAGGACTGGCATGGGAGGTAAAAAGCTTCCCGTAGCCTTTTTGTCTTGTGCTTGCTTTTGTCTTGGACTGTGGCTGCCCCCAGCAGGGCTCCTCTTGTTTGGAAATCCAGCGGGAGACGGGCTCATTCATCATCTCGCCACTCGGCTCCCTGAAGCCAGGGATGGCCCTTCGCTTCTGTCCGAGAAAACAGCCTTCCAAACTGCGCTGCGCTCTCCGGTACCCACGTCATCTTTCCATTGCAAAGCTGCAAAAGTTGCTTTTATCTTACAGCTGAGCGCTTCAGTGGGCACTTGAAAAATTTTATTTCATGCCTGGTGAGGAATCTGGTTTCCACACTGCTAAGAAATGGAGCAGAAGTCAGGAAAATATCAGCCTTGCTGGATATAATTGAGTAACCGTCGGGTTTATCGTTTCCTGGCTTAAAATACTTCAGGTTGGAAATTGAAGCTGGATTTGGGAACATCTGCTAGTTGCAACTTGAGCTCTTGGATATCAAATCATTGCTGCTGCGTCCTGCTCAGTGGACAGGAAGCACCTTTTGTAGTTAACAAACCTGCTCTGGAAAGGTTAGGTAGCCTTCCTCCTCCTCCACCTCCTCCTCCTCCACCTCACAGGGAGCCAAGGGGTGGCTGTGTCGCCGAAAGGAGCCCCGGTGATTTTGTCCAGTGGCTGCCCCGTGTCCTGACAGCCCACATTTAGTTTTTCATGTGCATTTAGTGGTGCCCACGTATTGCTCAGGGGTCCTTTGAGAACCAAAGCTCAGCAGAAAAGGGAACGATTTCTGGAGTTACTACACAACGGAGTTGTCTCTCTTCTCCCTGAACGATTTCTGTTCTAGTTTTTGTGATTGCAAAGCAAAAGTTCACCTTTGTTTTTTTTTCCCAGTGCCCCGATTCTGCGTGCAAGCAGGACCTCCTGGCCTACCTGCAGCGCATCGCCCTGTACTGCCATCAGCTGAATATCTGCAGCAAAGTGAAGGCTGAAGTCCAGAACCTTGGAGGAGAGCTGGTTGTGTCTGGGGTACGTACGACCATGGCACATCTGGTTCATGGGGGCCTTTCTTCTAGGGGTAACAGTTGTTCCAAGCTAAGCTTTTGTGCTAAACGTTACAGAATGTAGACAGGAGATTTTTGGAGTGTTCACTTTACTTTTGTGTAATCTACTGTTTTTCCAGACTGTTTTTCACTCTCAGTGAGGTTAAATCACTTTAATCGGTGTAGCTAAACCTACCCCATGTCCCTGCACAGCCTTGGAACATGCTGGGGTCCTGCAGTGCTCCGGAGACGTTAACGTTTCCAAAGAGCTGTGCCCTGGAGAGCGCAGGGATCTTTCGTGGCTGCTCTGTTTCATGACAGCTGGGATCTGCCGTAGGCTTCCTCCTCCCACCCATTACTTAGCAAATAATTTTTTCACTGTAGTTCAGGAAACGCTTCCTCCTGAGAGGAATCTATATGATGGATATTTGCAGGGAGGGAAGCAGAGCTAAATTCTTCAGTTCTTCTGGCATGTTCTTCCTTGCCCTAGACGGGAATGTTTTTGCCCATCCATGTCATGACTGAGGTAGGAGGTTTGCAGGAGGGACAGAAATGACTGATAGTCCAATATTTCTATCGGAATCCTCAAAAGCAAATGGAAAACAACTTGCCACCTTCTGCCATTTAGGTATTTCAAATGCTTAAACTTATTAGCACATCTTTTTTTTTTTTTTTTTTCCTTTTCCTGCTGCAAGCAAGGTAGGATGGCAGAAGGAGCACTTGGGGACAGCGGCAGCGGCGGGAGGTCTGCAGGAGCAGCGT